GAATTGGTTGTATCAAGTGAAGTTGTATGTGAGGTGGAATGATCATTGAAAGTATCGTTTTCTGAATTAGATCCTTGTTGTTTGAGCCATTTGATTCTGTCACGAGTTTTGGCACGTTCTTTCAACATTGAATTTTCATCACAAAGTCGATAAGAACCATGTTTGAGGGTCTCTCTGAGAAATCTGGCTTCCATCGCTTTAGTCAATGCATCTGCAAGCTGGGCTCCTGTATGAACCCATCTCAAGTTAATACCTTCCCTTAAAGTCTCCTTAATGGCCCTGGCAACAAGCTGGACACGGAACTCCGAGCACTGCGGAGGAGCAGTACGAGTAATGAGATCATGCAAGCTCTTGCAGTCAGTTACTGCAACATCTGCGGTCGAAGGCAATGTGGCAACTGAGATGGCTGGTTCAACCTTCATAAGAGCATCTTCGGGTCGATGCCATTGAGTTTTGGGGTCATGGAGCCATTTCCAGTATAACCGCAGCCAACTTAACTGATCCAAGGCGGATGCTATGGAAACAGTTTCTGCTGAAAGCGTGCTAGTTACTACTTTTTGGATCTTTTTGCTTCCCCAAATCAGAGGACTGATGGGGCATTCAACATTTTTGGATATGTCTCGGTGGGTACCCACAATTATGCTACCGGCATATGAGTAGGGTTTGGAACTGGAGGCAAATGATGCGTCTGAAAATACCATAAACCGAAGATCATCATGGGGAATGGATTTGATAGTGATGGTGGTGTCGTGGTATTTCTTTGCTTCATGAAGGAGTTTGTTGGCTTCCATGATCGTTTCAACCTGAGCACTGTTGATCTGTGATTGCAAGGTAGATAGTCTGTTTGAGAGATCTGGTCGGGTATTCGTAGAGGCGTATTGAAGTGATCCAATTAACCCTCTGAGAAGCCCACGTTCTTCATCATTGACAGGTTGTTCAGGATGGGACTTACGGTTAATGTCAATGGGGATTGGACTGATTTTGCGAACATAATTGGATTGGCTGAGGGTGATGTTAAAACTGGGATCTTGGTTTACCTCAATACCGGTGAAAGTGAAAGAAGTCATCTTTTTGGCTCCAAAGGGATACTTCCGTTCCAAAAGTTGAATAACATGTTGAAATTGTTCATTTCCACCGCAAATGCCGTCGTCCACATGGACTCCAAGTACTCCAACAATCGGGCCAGTGGCAGGATTAATGTTGGAAGGTCTCGGTTGATCATCATTTGGAGTGAACGAATCTTCACGAAGTATAAAGACACAAGGATCAAATGGACAAGATTCCATGCCTAGCTTGGTCAACTCTTGAACCAATGCGCAATACCAAAGATATGGTGCATCGATGAGACCGTAGGCTCCCTTATGAAGTCTGGCCACTTCGGAAGGCTGCATTTTCATGGCTGTTCGAAGTTCACTCACAGGATCAATTATGATTAGACGGTCTTTCTGCGGTTGTCCTTGGAGAAAAGCTGCTTTGATGTCGAAGGATTGCAAGTGCCATCCATGTGAAGCGATCGTTTGAAGGATTACCATTCTAGATGATCTACCAAGGGTGGGACTATCACGGGGAATTTCATCAAGATGTGGGTCTAAGTATCCCAGTACCACAATCCTAGCTTTGGCCTTATGTTGTTTGAGGCTTTGGCTATCTACACCCCCTTCAGCTACGTCCAGTGGTTTCCATGTTGGTACCCATCCACATCTTAAGATTTGATCGGGGGGAATCTGGTCACGCAGCATTACTGATAGTGTCTCGGTTTTGATCCAATTGTTCACTTCAACTTGCTTGGCAGCAGCAAATTCCTCACGTTCACTGGGTGTGAGCTCGGCCAGTCGGACTTCTGATCGTTGTTTCTTTGAAGTTGTGGCTACAAGAATCCATGTTTCTTCTGGGGTGAGATCTTGTCTCACGACTGTCTCTGGCACTGTGATGTCGAATTCACACTTCCAGGCAAGAGGATTGTCATTGCTGTTTGTCAGCACGCATTCATCCTCAGCACACGTAAGGAAAGGTTCGGCATGATCAATTGGAGATTCATCTGGGTGATGAGTCTCTTGGCGGCTTAATGCTTCCGGTTCTTGATCTGGCTGAATAGTGGTTTCACTGGCAGTGCTATCTCGACGACTTGACTCGGAATCAGCTACAGGGTGGTCTTCCGGAAAAGGTTGTGGTATCTGTAAGGTGGCATCAATGTCAGGTTCAAGTTGCTCATTTTCGGGAATTGATTGCATGGCTTCAGGGTGTTGGGAAATTCGATTGATTTGCTGTTGAATTTGAGTCAAATCTTCGGGCAAGTCAGGTCCACCGGGTTCTCCTTCTTCAGGAAGTGACAATCTGACGTTCTCTGGTGCACTACGATAAAGTCTTCCTCCCTGAGTAGTCCAAATTGTATGGCTTTCATCTTGAATTATGACCCTTTGAGGACCTATCCAATTTTGTTTCTGGGGACCCGTATTTCTCCAAACCATTACCCATTGGCCCTTATGGTATACACCCCTAGAAGGACATGATCTTTTGAGCAGTGCTCTTCGCAAGGCATCGCTGTTGTCAGCGGTGTGAAAGGCCCGTCTTGCCACTTCTCGAAGCTTGAGTTGATCGCGAAACTCCGCGGCTGTAAACTCTGAATTTTCCTGGATGGCAGCTGTATGGGCCGGCAATGACTCATCACTGAGCACGGAACCTGGGAGCCGGCTCTGCTTACCGAAAACCATGATTTCAGGGCTGTAACCATGTCTTACCATCATGCTATTTTTGGATTGACAACATTGGTGCAGGGCCAATTGCAATTGATGATAATTTTCAATGGGTATCTCAAGGTCCACTTTGGATAACATTTGCTGTAGAAAACTTCCATGACGTTCTATGGTGCCATTCTGCCAATGTGCTTCGGGAGCTATTGTTGTACACCGAATGGAAAACCTTTGAAGAAATTGTTGGAATTCATCACTATTCAATTCGGTACCAGAGTCAACTTTCATTTCCTGTGGGGCTCCCGCCCAATTCAGCCAGTGCTGGTTCAGCAGGGCAATCACATCTCTGGTCGAGTGCGCAGGGGCAGTGAAGGCAACATGAAAGTGTGTCCCAGCATCCACCACATGATATAGTTGAAAGCTTTGACCATTCTTGTTCGTCCACTTGATTCCATCAACATAGACCCTATGGTTGAAATCAAGAAGTGGTTTCAATCTTCCTGGTCTTTGATGCTTGGGAGCGGAACTGGCGGCACAAATGCCACATTTGAGCTCGAGTGCAGCTTTCACCATCTCCGGTCTCTGGCCATTTGATTGCAGTGCCTTGGCAAGTCTTTCATTGGAAGGGTGACCGAGATTCTTATGAATCTGTATCAGTTGGTTCTGTTCCAATTTTGGGAGTGCATGGAAATAGGTACCCTGATCATGTCTGCAAACTTCTCGATGGGCCGATTGCTCAGACCTTTCAGAGTCCGGAGTCGTAGTGGCACGTGGAGAACGGACTTCGCCATTCTGTGGTGACGGGTGCATGGGCTGCAAACTTGAGCTATCGGGATTGGCTGGCATCGGATCATCAAGGGCATCAGTCTCACGGTTCACTGTCGGGGCCGGATGAGTGCTGGATTGACCTGGAGTGATCTCAGATTCAAACTCTTTGGCAAAAACTGTAATGTTGATGCGGCACGGGTGAGCGGGTCTGATCATTTGTCGATTGGAAAGATCTGACCAACGTTCCCATTCTTTTTCATACCTGATATCCCCTGACGGTCGAAGAATCATGAGTGTCTTACGAAAAGGGGCTTGACTCTTATGTAAATGTTCAGGGGGAGGAATGGTTCGATCAGTGCCTCTGCATGCAACAGCTGTGATCACTTGACGATCTGGGAATATTACTTGAAGTTGTTGAAGAATGCTGGAATCTTGAATCTCTCTTTTGCCAACTCGGGGTAATATTTGTTGAATTTCTTGAAAAACAGTTTGACAGTCCTTCATGGTGGGTATAGGTCCTTGTTTTCCTTCCAGTCTTCTTCGTTTCACCCCTGCTTCATCACTCTCTTCCGGAGTCGACAGTTGAGATCGGGCAAAACTGTCACGGCCTCGGTAGCTTGAAAGTTTCAAAGTGGAACGCTTCTGGCTGGCTGCAAGCACTGGTGTTGGATCACCAGAATCGCATTGACACAGGGCAAGGCCGGTTTTCCACTGAAAGGGCCATTGGTGACCACGTTGGCACAGAACTTTTGCAACTAGTCTCACAAATTTTCGGGGGTAAATCTCGGAAAACTTGGTTCGAAGGACTGAATGACCATGAATTTTCTGTCGATCCCTCAAGGTGTTGGTGATCATGATTCTTCTTGCATGTTCGACCATGAAGTGCACGAAACAAGGGTTCATGAGTGGTGACCACTTGCATTCCCTTCTTCATATGGAGTTGATTGACAGGATCTTTGAGTGCACCGGCTTCGCACATGTCGAATTGGCTTACCTGAGTATGCTGGTGAATTTCATTAAGGCCTGGGTGGAGCAACATCAACGATTTTTGGGGCTGCTCCCAACTGAAGTGTAATCCCGTAGATACTTGATATCGATACAGGACAACACCCAGGGCAATCTGATATCGCAAATCACTACGTTGTTGTTGATATTCCCATTGCGATTCCAAAGACCTACTGGCATTCAGGGCAGACCAAGACGACCATGGACCACAAACAGGGCTGTACCATAAGTGCTTCGGTCTATGAGTGGCTATCATCTGGAATAACTTCTGTCGGCCACCGATGGTTGAGAGGTCGCCCTGTGCAAGGCCAAATCTAAAAGCCTGGTGTCCCATGTTCAGAACCTGCTGCGTCAGAGGTGATGCATCACTGCAAAACACTTCACCCATCATGAAAGGTTTCCCTAAAGGCTTGCTGTGTGATAACACTCCTTCAAATTCCTGAGTGAATTTTTGGATCATCTGATGCAGTTCCTGAACATCTTGATGCATGGCCAGACATGACTCGGCTACCGTCTCACTTTCGGGATCACTCACGTCTACTGCTTCTCGATCTGGTCCTCCAGGTGCTTGATCACGCGGCCCAGAGCGTTCTCCATGTTCAGGATACGATCCTGAAGAGCAGTGAAATCCGGATCCTGATGGAGAGGAGTCCTTGCCGTAGTCCCCTGGTTGAACATCTCGAACTCCTGTTCTTCGTCCTGGTCCAGTGGAATGGGTTCTGTGACCCCAGATGGAACTGTGCTCATGGCCTTGGCCTTGGCTCGGATGGATCTGCGTCCAGAAAGCTCGCCGATCAAGGCGTAGCCTCCGGCCACCGATTCCGGCGGTGGCAGCACAGGCACTCGGGTGCTGGTCCTTTCGTGTTGCTCCACCATCAACTCCACGAACCGGATCAGGCGACGATGGCTGAGAACCTTGCTGGTTCCATACTTCGCCACCATGAAGTTGATCCAGCTTTGATCTTCCCACGCCGTCTCGAATGTCTCCTCGGCATGTTTCTGACCGAATGAGACCACCTCTGTCTTCAGCTCTGCGAGGGTCAACTGAGACAAGTCGGTCAGCGGCACTTCCACTTCGGTCTGAACGGCCTTCAGGCGGGCAAGAAGAGACATGGCTGGACAGGAGAGTTCGATCAGGCTTTCCACAGGGATCTTGGACCGTGGGCTCACGGTATTCAGCATTCATCTCATGGTCAACATGGGCTTCGGATGTTGCAACTTGGATACCTGTAGCCTCTTGAAAACCCTCGGCACTCACGGATTCTGGTAATGGCAAGCTGAGATCTATGATTGATGGCTTGTCGGACGGCAAAGTTTCAGCAGCGGCTGCGGCAGTGGATTTTTCAGTGCTCAGGAAGGTTGCTTCGACAGGCTTCGTGTCGGGACTTCCGCATGACTGCTGATTCATGGCGGCCTTCACAACATCGTTCAAATTAAGTAGAAACAATCCTCTTTCGGTGAGTTCCAATGGAATGGCATGATTCAGCATCGGACTTGACAGGCTGTGCGAAAAGCAATCAATCTTGGCCCTAATGGCACGCATGAAAGTGTTGCTGATGAGGAAAGGTGTTCCTCCGTTCACGATTGCTATCTTGAGTCGGAGTTTGCCTATGGGTACCACAATGGCCTGGCTGCTAGTCAGAGTACCTTGGTTTCCAAACTTAAAGGTGACTTCACAGGGACACCGGGTCAATTGAGAACGGGTTTCCTCATCCAGGCTTTGAATTAAACCCTTCACGTGTTCCGATCCTATGACAGTCTTTGAAGCGCCAGGGTCGAGTACTCCGTAGGCATCATGGGTTGCAAAACATGTTGGAAAAGTTGGTATTGATTGGTGAGTTGCCACATTGTTCACTTTTTCAGCTGCAGCTACGTCACAGTTCACCTTAGTCAAAATGACCTTGGCACGATCGGACGGGACGGATCTGGCACTCACGGATTGAAACTTTCGGGTGTCACTAATTTGGGCATCGTGTGTCGGCGTCTGGCATCTTTCATTCCTGACAAGATGGCTGCGCAAACGTTCTTTGGCTGTGAACCTGCTAAAACCAAAACTCAGATCATAGTTCCCGTTGCGTGATTCCCCAAGAATACGTCCCCTGTAACTATATCTGTTCTTATCAAAACTTGGTTCACAAGTAAAACAAAAGGCTAAACTTGGCTTGGGCTCATCTATGGAGGTCTCAGGTAAATCAAGGAACTCGAGTGGCAAGCTACCGCTGCTGGTGGTCGTGATCACAGTGGATGTCGGAGCGGCAGTCTGGGCTTCGGATGAGTTGGCACTTCCTTGATTTTTCAGCGGACATTCTGCCTTCCAATGTCCGCGAACTCCACACAGTCTGCATGTTGAGGACATGATACGTTCTTGCAGAGTCTTTTTGGGACGATTGTCATATCCCTTCCCTTTTCCAAACTGTTTCCCACCATATCCCTTTCCTTTTCCAGCAAATGGCTTCGCAGGGAAAAATCCACGGTTGCGAAACTTTTCACCCAGTCGATGTCGAGCTTGCTGATAGGCTGAAAATGCCGTTGCTAACTCATGGTCATCTTGAACTGTTTCCTGAGCAGCTGCCTCAAAATCAGCTATGAGCAACGCATCTTGGTCTCCTTCTTGAATCAAAACTTCCAAGAAATCAGCTTCAGCTTGATCATCGTTCAAACTGGTTCCCATGTCTGTTTCTGCAACTGCGGCATGGTCGGTGGTTGCCTCAGTCAGGAAGGTCGTGTTGTCATAGATCTTCGTTCGGGTGGCCTTACGGCCGGTCATCTCATTGAAGAAACTCGCCCCAAGGACCCTGATGGCCTCATGCACTCGCTTCATAGTGAGAGTTCCAGACTCTTCGCTGTCCATGATCACACGTTTCTTTTCATCAGCTGTCAGCAAGGATCCACGTAGAACCACGTACGCTTGGATTTGATCCAGCGTCATCTGTCGGGCCAAAAGTCGGCTCCACATCACGTCAGCTCTGGCCACGTAGGAGTCGTTTGCCTCGTCTGGCTTCTGTATCGTATGATACAGAGCCTGCTCTGCGTCTTCATATTGGCGCTCTAAGGCAATTTTGCCCCATTGTCCGCTCAGGTATCCTATCAATTTCTTGATACTACCTTCATCTCCTCGGAGAAGCTCACTCTGATGTATCTGCAACTTTTGGAATGCCGTGCCTTTGCACCCCAAAATCAGTCTTGTAATCAGTTCTGGAAGCTTCCCCTTAGGCCATGCTGCGACCACCAATTCCACCTTCTGCTGATAAATCAAAAGATCATCAGTGGCAGGATCGAATGTCGGAACCAATGACGACAGTTGATTGCTGACACCTGAACCTCCAGCATCGGTAGTCGATGACATAGTCTTCCCGGATACCCCCCCTTTGCGGGGGGCTCCGCTACCAATGTAAATGGCAGCAACACCAGTTGATAAAGTGAATGGCAGCTTGTTTGTCAAAACCAGATGCAAACTGAATAAAACTCTGTTCCAAAAGGTTTGTAAATCCAAGCACCACCAGACGCTCACCAGCTGTTTTCCCTTCGATGCCAGCTGAGATGTGCAAGGTCACGGACCAACAGGCACAGGATTCGGCTGGGCTCGCCGCACTCTTCTGAAAACTGCAAAGGACACCCTGGTCCAAGAAAGTGGTCCCGGCCACTATGCAACCCTATGGCTTCAAGGGCGATGAGCCCACCCTGCCCGCACCTATGCTCGCCTGAGCCAACACGCCTTGAGAAAGGACACTCGAAAGTGGAGATGCTTGTCATCCTGGGCATCGGAATGTACGAATCACAATATATATATATATGCATATGTTTATATACGTATGTAAATTCTATCCCAAAACCAGCAACGCTGGCATATTCTATCTGCACCTCTCCCCCCACCTGATCCTCAGCTTTGCCATAGTCTTCCCCATCTTCATTCTCACTCGGAGATTGATCTGGTGGAGGAAGAGGAGGCCCAACCTTCTCACCTGAACTTTGTTCTGCTTGGGCACGTTCACGTGCTAGGTCCAAAGGACTACGTTCAGCTGCAGCCTTGATGTAAGCCAGAATGTCACCCTCTGAAATGCCGCTCACCCCCGACATAGCTGCAGATACAAAGGTAATCCTCCGAAATCAAAATATATTCTATGTGCAATTTATTCCACCAATTTCATTGAAAAGAATGCTGCAAGATGCCTTCAAATATTGGTATTTGCTTTGTTTGTTTAAGCAATGATCCAAAAGATACATATATACAAAGTAATGCTGACAATGATTCTAGAGGCAACATTCCCATATTCAGAAAATCTTCGCATACCATGTTTTCATCGTACTCCAGACCTGGGTTTTGGCATGTTACTTTGATAGGCATTTCAGCTCAATCTGGAGGGAACAGCTGGCCCACGGCGAATCCACTGAATGCCCCTCCACAGCTTTCTATCCCCTATGTCGTTTCAAAGCAGCTGTGGACGTTGAATGAATTGAAGGCTGCTTTGATAAGGAAGTTTCTTCATTTGTCTACCGAAGAAGGACAGGGTTGTCAAAGGTAACGTTTTTAAAGGTTGGCTGAGTAAAAATTAGCAAGTTTCTTCCCCGGGACCTCAGCCAAGGTGAACTCGGAAAAATAGAACCCACTGGTGTGCCCCTGGAAGTTTGGGCTGGCTTTGGGATTGGAATTTTGGTTCTGGCCCCGAAATTTCCCTATGTGGTCTCTATACCAGCCACGCATACTCGGAATTCTTCGCACTCCAGCGAGGGCATCGCACTCCACAGCTAGGGACGTAGACATACTGTAAAATCCACGCACTCTGCAAGATCTTCGCACTCCATAAAATCTTCGTACTCAGCGATTGTCTCTTTTTTTCTGTTTTTTTTTGGCTAAAATCGCCTGGAATCACGTTTTCTGGAATATGGGCAAGGTAGCGGTTTCGCGTGAGACGTCTGTAGTTTCACATACTATCGCATTCCAGGCCATTTTGGCCAAAAATGACCAAAAAAAAAAAAAAAAAAAAAAGCTCAGCAGGGTGAAATGTGATAATTTTCTGGTATATGATGGAAAAAACTGGTGTTGGATCCATGGGGAAGGTCGAAGGGGGCCACGCATACTGTTTTATTTTCGCATTCCAGAAAATTAGCGCACTCCAGGGGTGGCATCGTACTCTATCGGTGGAATTATTTTGCACGGAAGAAAACAGGATCGTCGATGATTTGTGTTCCCAGATCCTGTTGTGCAGAGCTCTTTGCGGGGCCACAAAGATGTCAAGAAAGATGGGGATGGCGCTGCTGATGAAAGGCCAGCCAAGCGTGCCAGAACATAAGCTTAAAGCTTATGAATTGGGTTTTGAGATCCTGAAAAGTGTAGATGACAAATTCCCATAAGAACATTATTAATCCATTTTTGGAAAGCTCAACATTATTAATTATGACATTTCCAGAAATTGTTGAAAGTAAGGATCTTCTTTGGGGAAGAACATGTGCAGTCGACAACGTACGTGCCAGAAGAAAAGGAGTACTTGGCAAACTGTATGAAATACAAATTTCACCTGAAAGGGGTCTTCGCAATTCCCTGAAATTTCCCAGCTATTTTGGCATGGAATGTGTTCGGCCCTGGAATATGGGCAAGAAATTGCTAGAATGATGTGTGTATATACATTTATATAATGCCGTCCTATATTCTATGTGCATTCCGTGCACCTATTTCTTGCAAATATATATATATATATATATTTCTGAAAAAATGCTTTGATATTCTGTGGATCTGATGTGGTGTTCCTGTGCGCAATGTGCACATACTTTGAGCTGAAGAAGCAGTTGAAATCATAGCCATACACAAACATGTCATTGTCTCCGGGTGTTTGAACTGAATATGTATGTTTTGTATGTTTATATAATATGATTTGTACATCCCATATTCTATCTGCATGCAGATAGAATTCTCAGGCTCACGGGTCGGCGAAAAAAACCTGAATCGAAGTAATTAGCAAGAAATAATTAGTCCATATTCTATCTGTAAGAAATGGACTATGCAAATGTTATAGGGTCAATATTCCTCGAGTGATGCTAGTGCATGGGTCTTGCGGTATGAACAGATTTATAGTTATATAAGATACAGTGTTTAGTGACAGTGTTTGGATTGTTTGGGATAGTGTCTTGTGTGCGGAACATCTCAGGCCAGCAGGTGCCAAGGATTGTTGAGGTATACATGTGCCGTGGGCGCATTCCATGTACAGCTGCTCTTGGCCCATTTTGGCCCATTCTCTGTGACATTTCATGATGATTCCCATCTACTTGTAGGGCGGGTGTTTCTGGAAACATGTCAGAACCGTTTCGGAGACCCCATGTCTCCCAGCCACACTTCCCCAAAAGATTTCTGGAATCTGCCGCATTTGGCCCCAGCACGGCAGCCACACCAAAACTCTGACTTTCCTTTATAATGGCTCGCGGCCTTGCAGTTGTCGGATTGGTGGCTGTGGCTGGCAGCTTGGCCTTTGTGCCAGGCGCTTTGCCACGTGGAAGCACCCCATCTCCCAGGCATGCAGCTGCCACGCCCAACATGGAGACTGAGAATGGCTGGGGTTCGCTGCCGACTTTAGTCGGAGGCGTGGCCTTGGGACTGTTCTTCAGCCTTGCCACTGTGGCCCCAGTGCGTGCTGACGAGGAGGCAGCCAAGCAGGAACCGGCTGGACCGACCGATGAGGAGATCCTGGCAAAGGGCTGCGACATCCGCTTGGACTGCACCACTAGGGAGCAGCAGTTTGCTTGGGCGAAGGCCTACTACAGAAAGTACAACAAGGAGACCGATGGCAAGGATCCCAAGTACAGCCAGCCTTCCACCGGAGCTGGCGTGTACCGCAAGTTCAAGATCGACTGGACCAACCCAGACCCCAGCATCCCTGACACCGTGGATGGCACCTACCCCATCCGTGATGAGGAGTTCAAGAAGGTTTGGGAAGGCCGCCAAGCAGAGCTGAAGCAGCGTGTTGAGAACTTCCTGGGCAGACCTGTGGTGGAGGCTCGCTTCAATGGAGATTACTACTCCAAGAAGAGCCCTTTCCATTCCCAGCAGGGTGATTGGTGAGAACCAACTACTGTATGTTTTGAGTGTGGCACTGGGGCTGAGAATATTTCACACCTTATATAGGGGGATCAACTTGCCGTGAGCAGAGCCACCAAAAGGTCTGTGAGGGTCCGAGGGTGGTCAAGGTTTGTTTTGATCGGTTTGATGTGGTCATTGCACTGGCAAATGTTACAATATTAAAGACTCCTTGGATGATGCTGGTGCATGCATGTGCATGCCACATGCGGTATTTTTCCCTGTTGGTTGGGATGGCTGGGTCCAGTCCCAATGTGACAGGCCATTGTATCGTTTATTGCGGTTTTCTTTGCTACTTTCTCAAGCTGTTTCCGGTTTGGTGGCGTCAACATCTTTCCCGGTCTTACAAATTGATTGCATGTCACAGCTTGATGCAATACTTCAGCACAATTCGGTGCGAACAAGCATGTGTTTAGATACGTTCTTGCAAACATAGTGGTTGCAACTGTTGTCACTGTATTCCATGTCCATGCCAAGTCCATTATTTATTTGCTCTTGGCGTGTTGTTACTTGCACTCCAGCTTGAGGTCGACAAATTACACATGTCATGCAATGTCATTTGCATAGTTACGGTTTTGCAAACAGTCTCGGCGTGTTCTGCTGCATTTGGCCCCAGCACGGCCACACCAGAACTTGATTTTTTTGAATCATGACTCGCACCCTTGCAGTTGTCGGATTGCTGGCTGTGGCTGGCAGCTTGGCCTTTGTGCCAGGCGCTTTGCCACGTGGAAGCACCCCATCTCCCAGGCATGCAGCTGCCACGCCCAACATGGAGACTGAGAATGGCTGGGGTTCGCTGCCGACTTTAGTCGGAGGCGTGGCCTTGGGACTGTTCTTCAGCCTTGCCACTGTGGCCCCAGTGCGTGCTGACGAGGAGGCAGCCAAGCAGGAACCGGCTGGACCGACCGATGAGGAGATCCTGGCAAAGGGCTGCGACATCCGCTTGGACTGCACCACTAGGGAGCAGCAGTTTGCTTGGGCGAAGGCCTACTACAGAAAGTACAACAAGGAGACCGATGGCAAGGATCCCAAGTACAGCCAGCCTTCCACCGGAGCTGGCGTGTACCGCAAGTTCAAGATCGACTGGACTAACCCAGACCCCAGCATCCCTGACACCGTGGATGGCACCTACCCCATCCGTGATGAGGAGTTCAAGAAGGTTTGGGAAGGCCGCCAAGCAGAGCTGAAGCAGCGTGTTGAGAACTTCCTGGGCAGACCTGTGGTGGAGGCTCGCTTCAATGGAGATTACTACTCCAAGAAGAGCCCTTTCCATTCCCAGCAGGGTGATTGGTGACGTGACAGTGAGGGTTGCAAGAGTTTCTCAAGAAGTTCGAGGCTTGTAGGCTGCCGTGCTTAAAAGTCAGCCGACGCAGTGGCAGGGTAAGGATTGCGCAGGCAGATAGGTTTGGGTTGCAGCAGCTTTGTTCCCAAGAAAAAGGATTAACGGGGAATGTTCAACATAGTCTTTCATATTTTGACAATGAACTTCTCGGACTCCTGCGAGACTTGCTCATACTGTACATGTCTAATCCATATGTTGTTTTTCGAGGTATATATGGACAAAGCACGACACCTTATTAACATTTATTTGGTTGTTTCAGTTGTTTAAAACGTATTGCAAGATCAAACCGCAATTGTGCAGGGGCCCTTCTATGGCCGAGCCTGTCTGAAATCAGCGGGATGTGGATATGTGATTTTTAGGCTAAACGTCAGCACTTTAATTATATTTGGATGCCCTATTCTTGGCCCATGTTTGGCTCATGCTTTCAAAACTGTTCCTTTTAGTTTCTGGTTTCGACATGTTTCGGCCATTTGTTCTTCTCAAATCTATCTTGCCCATCATTAGTTTCATGGAACATTTGCGGAAAACCTCTATATGTCATGTTCCCGGATGGTTCCGGACAACATTTTCCCAAACCCAATCCATTACTGGCTGGTGGTTTGGAACATGGCTTTTATTTTCCATTTCATATATGGGATGTCATCCTTCCCATTGACCAACTCATATTTTTCAGAGGGGTAGGTAGGTATAGCATCAACCAGATTAAAACGATGGCCCCCAATCATCCAAGATTTCTTGAGACGAAGCCCCACACTAAGGACCTGACCATGTTTCAACGGCACAGCGCGGCCGTTTCCGCGGCTGATCAGCCGAGTCCGAAGCGGCAAACAGAGAAAAGGACCGGACGCGCCGGAGCCCGGAGCCACGGAATATGGTAAACCCAAGGCCTCCAACCATTTGGGGGCCATTTTCGTAAATAGAGGTATACCGGTATAATTACCTATAATCAACCTCTATTGGGGATGATTTATTTTAAGTGTTTTCGGGCTTACCAGGTTTTGTAAACCCTTCCCATGGAGGTTTACGAAATTGGGCGCGCCCCTGAGCCGCAGTCATGGTTTGTCAATTCATGGAATGGCTTATTATGGTTTATTCGTTAAAAAGAAAATGCAGATTTATCGAACAAGTTAATGTATATATATATTAATGGGGTGAAGCCGATCCAACAAACATGATGCGAGGCACTGCCTTGTAGATGATGATTGGGCAATGGAGAATGGCAACGGATCGATGGTTCCACCATTTTTTGGGTCAGGGATGGAAGATGATGACCGCATGCTAGATGGTTGTCTGGTATACCCTCTGGCAAACTAACATAGCTATGGAAAATCACAATTTTTATGGGAAAACTCACTATAAATGGCAATTTTCAATAATAGCTATGTTAGTTTACCGGAGGGTAGTTGAATACCCTGCGGTGATGTGACTTGCGAATACATGACAGAACCATACTGGTTTCGAAGGTTTACCATGGGGGTAGCCCCAAATCATCCGTTGATATTGTCCATGAAAAAAACCATCCAACTATTGGGGTACCCCCCATTTAACCACCATTTGCAGAGCCAGCTTACTGTCTGCCTTGACTCAACCAGGTTTATTCCATGTTGCCGAGGTCTCCACATCTTGTGACACCAGGTCAGTCTATTTTTCCCGAGCATCCACCAGCTGTAGTATATAGATGTGTATGGGATTATATAATGGAGCCTCCATATACACATAGGATGTGTATGGGATAATTTATTGATTGCAATTGGATTTAATAATCAACCTATAATCCAAATGTTAGATGTGTGGTATAATATCAGGATATTGTAGGGACATGAAGCCTCCATACGGGATGATTTATCACTGCCTCGTTTTTTTTTGGGGGCGGGGGAAGCTGGCAACGCTGAACAACTTTGATATGTATATATATATATATATAGGACTTTTTTGGTATGGGGGTTTAAGATTATCGACCCCCCAAATGATCCAAAATTGGCAAAATGGATTGGTTTTATGTTGAAATGCACGACCTCATTTGTGGGTGCCCATTGGTGCCCCAAGTTGAATCCACATCCTTTATCGCCGCGTCATCCAGTTGCCTCAAATTCAGAGGTTGCATTGGCATTTTTTCGCCACATGCTTTCCCCAGCCATTAATTTCACGTTTGAGATCTCCAGCATTTTCACCCCAACAGCAGCAGTCGATTGACTTCGAAACCAAAGAAACAGTCGCATCCCACTGCGCGCAACGAAATTTCGCAGCCACTTGGCCATGCTTCCCTTGAAGGCCAGGACGTACACCGGGCCGAGATATGGAGCCGAGATATGGAGATATGGTCTAGTATAGGAAACTGCTCCCCCCAAAAAAAAGAATATAATAAATAAATAAATATATATATATATATAATTCCTAATTTGGGAATAGTTTTGGTTTTAAAGAACAGGTTAGGTTTGCGAAGGCCTTGGATGTAAAACCGTTGTGTTTTAAAGCATTCTTACCATATTTTCAGGAAACTGTGTAACTTGGACACCACCATGACATCCAGCAGTACCAAACACGGGATGGGATCAAAATCGTCAAGATCGATCCAGGAGTTTCCCCCAGAGTTATGTCCCTTGGCAGTTATAAATAAGATCCTAATTCCACCTATTTCCTATAGCTAAGGTTACCTTATAAGTTAATGTTGGCTACTGATTAGTGTGGCCCCCTCAACAATTCTAGATAACTCGCCATTTTCTGGCCCCCTCAACAATTTTTAGGATAGTCCTGGGGATTCAGGATGATCAACTTAAGTAAGGATTTCAATTGACATCAATCTGCTTTGAATTGATGTTGCTTTTAACTCAAAAAATCGCCCCAAGAGTTTTTGTGCAGAATAGGATGCCACCGAAACAATTACATTATTGATGATTTGGGTCACTCATGGGGTACCCCCTTGAAAATTGTTTGGGTGCTGTTTTTTGATAAGGGTTCAATAAGGCATCTAATTATTTAGGAACCGTGCATTTTCAAGGCTTTAACATGGATATGGCTTTCTAAAGTAAATGGATCAGCTTTACCCAAAGAAAGGTTGATAAAAGGTTTTGTGTTTTTTCCCCCCAAAAGTTTTTGTGGAATAGGATGCCATCGAAACAATCTCATTATTGAGGATCTGGGTCACTCATGGGGTACCTCCTCCAAAATTGTTTGGGTGCTGTTTTTTGATAAGGGTTCAATAAGGCATCTCATTATTTGGGAAACCGTGCATTTCAAGGCTTTAACATGGATATGGCTTTCTAAAGTAAATGGACCAGCTTTACCCAAAGAAAGGTGTATAAAGGTGGATAAAGCTCCTCCTGGGAAAAAACTGGATCTGAGAAAAATCTTTCCACAACAGAGGCCCACCCCCCCATCCAAAAGAACAAGATGCTCAATAGTTTTGGAAAAATCCACAATAGAGGTCCATCACACTAATCGGTATACTACAATATATATATATATATATCATGGGAAAAAACTCTTTAAAAACACATGTTAAGGGCTTTAAACTGCAGATAGCAAATACCCAACAATCTGATGGCCAAAGCACCTTTGGCCAGGCCGGGCCGAGGATGCCGAGGTTGGGAACTGGAGGGCGTGGTCAGGGGCTTTCCCAATGGAACATCCACCACTGGGGAATTGATGAAGACATGAAGGGAATATTTGTGATTTTTTGGTTGACTTTTTTGGGGACCCCTTAAGCAAATCCAAGATAAATAATATGTTGGTCGGTTGGTGGATGATACCATCTAACATCTAGTTTCGATCCAGTCTATCTTCCATGACCCTTGCTGATAGTAGTAGTTGCTGGTGCTTGTTGAAATGTCTACAATAAGGCATTTGTCATCCTTCATGTTTTTCAGTTTTCCCACATTAACTTTTGGGGCAACCGGAATGATTCGAAATCGTGGCATAAATCAACCAGCAGATGGAAAGTAACTACATATAAGTTGTTGCATCTCATTGCATCTCTTTGTAGCAGACAAGAAAGCAATGCATTTTGGTGGTCGAATAAGTTTGACACATTTCCATTCAAGGCTTTTTTTTCTGGGAGCTTTGGCGTTGAGATCCTTCATAGACGTTTTCTTACCCAGCATTTTCAGTTTAGATCATTTTCCCCGTGGAACACCGAACGGAAGTAAATGGGGTTGTTTCCACTTGGCTTTCCCTTTTCCCAGCATTGTTGAGTGGAATTTGAGTCCGACCCCAATGCCACAGACCCCGATGCAACAACCGTTCGGTACAATAAGGAATCCTGAACTATTCTATCTCATTTCATTGGCATTTGGGGGGGGTTCCTAAGATAGAGGTTCCCCAAATCATCCAAGTCATGGATGACCATTTTAGTATTCAACCCATGTTGACGACTGGGGACAATTTTGAGAAACCCTCCATTTGCAGCGGACGTGATTCGTCCAGGCAGATGCTGTCTCCGCCACCTTGATGATGCTTGGCCCACGAATGGAACGTCAATAGAATGGTGTAAAACTGATGGTTTATACACTGATACATTTAATGTTGGTTAATATTGTATATCAACAATTGACATTACCCAGCATATTATACTAACATATGGTTTACTGTCATACACTTTACTATACTTTACTGTTAATCATATGAAAACTTCTCTATAGTTTAAGGGGGTTGCCCCTTGCCGTGTTTGATTCAAAGGTACAGATGAAGAAAAACACATTACCCAAAAAATCCCAAATACATTTTGGGTGCGATATTCATTTTCAGATCTTCAGCAAGTGTAATGTGGTAAACGTGTAAAACATATCCGCCAAAACAGCATAACATTTTTTTTGTGGCTGGCTGCCATGTTTTTTTCCGATGTAGCTGTGGAATCGTTTCAGATTCCAGCGATGACTTAGCAACCCAAGATGGGACTGCGAGGGGGGCGCAAACTCAGAGTTATGCAGTTATGCAGTGCAAGACTGCCTGCATACTAAAACAATACCCTGGGTATGGTACAACTATCTTTTTACGTCCAGAATGAGACAGTTTCACATAGCTTAGGAAGCTTCACCCTTGGCCACGAGCAGGGGGGCCCTTCAAGGATGTGACCCTGCAGACCCCAATTGTGTCAGAAACCCTTTCAAAATGCAGAAAAATCAGTGGACTGGAGGTTACGTTCCATCAGTTTTCAATCCCCGCGGCCGATTTCGTTGCTTGGCTCCAAGGAAGGAGGACAGAGAGCTGGTGCGTTCTAGAAGGCGGGTGTCTCAATGTGCGGGAACATGTTTCCGCAGCGGTTTCCCAGGGGCGGACCATATGTATTTGCTTATATATATTTTCCTGGTGAATTTGAATGTGGGAGTGGATTGTGGATGATTGTGGGTTGCATTCCATCTTGATTTTCTTCGGGTATCGAATTTGGGCTAGTTTACAAATGTTTTTACGTGGTTGCACCGCACTGCATCGCAGGGGCAAGCGCAAGTTGAAGGAGGACCGTAGCCGTTTAGCATCGTTTAGCTCGGGCATCACTTACCATCACGGCAGCAATGGGTTCAGGTGCGAGTTCTCGAAGTGACGCGCAGGTGGGCGCATTGACTAGTGTGCAGCCTGAGGAACCCAGACTACCAAGGAAGAAGTGCAAGATCAAATGGGACAGGAGACTGGGCTGTAGTCTGAAGGTATAGCTGATAACATTAATATGTAGCTGGGGAGCGTACATATATGAAAAAAAATACACTTATTGATGTTGTGATATTGTCGTGTCAGTTATATCAAAGTAAGTCTGATGCAATTACTGTACCTATCATGTCCTTCTTGATGAAGGGGTATAGAAGTGGCTCTTCTTTACCGCTTGACTATTCACAACCCAAGCTACACCAATAGACAGCTCACAAGCTACCAATATGTTTGGTGTTTGAAAGTACATCCATCATGGCAACCTTCTGCAGTTCAATCCGGCTATCCCAAAGTGGCGAAGTTGAAAGTTGGCTAAGAAGACCCCAGTAACGAAGTATCTACCACAGAACCTCGTGAAACAATCAAGTTACAAACTAACTCTGCAATTCAGCCTGGGCCTTCCAACTCTTAAAAAATATCAATCGTTTTGCACAATCAGGCGTTTCATCAAATTTATGGTCATATCGAGCGTTTCCCCAAAAAGTTAGGTGTGGTATTTCATGGCTGTGTTTCCCATCGGCATGGCCCTCCTCCCAGTCTTCTCATCAGTATTTTGCTTTCAAAATATGGAGCCGCACATCCAACTTGGTTTCTGTTTAATTGCACGCTCCCAAAATTATTCAAATTTACCAGATTCTTGGATTTGCGGGCGTTTGCGGGTTTTTGCGGGCACTTTGCGGATTTTTGCGGGCGTTTTGCGGGATTTTTTTTGGGCGCAGTTATGTGCATATATATATATATATATATAAATATGCATTGGTGCTCGGGATATGAGAATGGCCTGGTATTTCCCTGGGACGCAGCCAGCATGCAAGCCATGTTCAGTCATATTCAAAATGTCAATTGTGGTGATAGCGTGTCCACTAGGAAGCAAAATCAGGCAAACTAGTAGAATTAGACGAGATTCTGAAAACTGGGTTTGTCATTTTAGGTCATACTCCAAAATTACCAAAAATAATTGATTGAAGGAATGTTCAGGCGCACTTCAAATCACCAGTTTCTGCGCTTTTTCGCTGCACCATGACTCTCGGGAACCGACCCAGGAATGATATGAGAAACAGGAAGAAAGAGGCGGCCCAGTCGACGGCCAAGAAGATGTCACTGTCAGAGAGCCACATGCCCAGCATTGCTTCCAACGACTCCATGCATAGTCTTAGTCAACTGGGCACCATCCGTGAAGAATTGGATGGCGAACTAGCTCTTGGGGCTGAGACTGATCTTCCACATTGTCCCCAACATGATTTGGAGTGATGTCTGAGCAAGGCTGGTCAAAGGAGGTCGCATGGCAAAGCAGAAATCATAGAAAACCATGGGTGAATTTGTTCAATCTGAGGCTATAAACTACAATCTCTAGAGTTTTAGTCTCCACAAATGCCACTTTGCTGATATGTTTGTTTCTTTCCAAAGTGATGGCATGCCTTGCGGAAGATGTGCAACTAGAGTAACCTTCCTAGACGGTGTACCTATTTCACCTTGTTTCACCTATTATAAGCTGCGCATTGCGAGGGAGACTCGGGCGGCTAATTTTTTGTAATTGTGCCAGGGCTCCCCATGTAACAGCGCAACTCTCTTATTAGCCTACATGTGGTCGAAAAATGCAGGTCAGGGCAGTCGAGCCACATGCAGGATTTGCCTGGAAGATCGTCCCAGCAGACCAGCTGTAACAGTGGTGATCCTCCTAGCTGAACAAAAACTTGCCTTGCGATTTGATGGGCAAGGCTTTTTTGGCCATGAGCATGTTGGCTTGCCACGGGTGTAGCATGGTGTAGCTCTGGAATCGTTTGCTTGAATGTCGTTGGTTATTTATTTCAGCATATTCAGCCATCTCTTCTTTCGACTCATCAACTTGACATTAGTTCACCAGCAGGTGTGCAGTTCAACTGCCAGAGAACTTTCACCTATCATCTGTGGATCTGTTCAGGATTTCCTGTTGTGATCCCTGTGGTGGTTTTTTCCGCACCCGGGCTCCGTTTGCGCGGCCGACGATCGCCACGATTGCGTGGTGTTGGAAAAGGAGCCGCTTGAAGCGCGGGCTGCGCTGTGCCAGTTTACTGCACATCTTCACTCGAAAAAACACAGGGATGATTCGAGCAATTTCGACCACACTGCCCAAACATTTATCAGGACGTACAAAACATATCAAAACATTGTATTGGGAGTGAATGAGGTGACGCGGTGATGAAGTGAAGTGACGTGATGATGTGAAGCGATGTGGTGCAGTGAAGCGGACAGTGGAGTAGTGATTGTTTGAAGTGGTGATCATGTCACGTGGTGATGATTTGAACTGGTGACAATGTGAAGTGGCAATGAATTACAGTGGTGCTATTTACGGTATTATTTACTTTCCAAGTGGTGGTGATGTCAAGTGGGCATAGATTGAAGTGCTGATGATTGCAGTAGCCAGACTTGTAACCATTTTTTCATGGCTCCTAGAGCAACAAAAGAAAGAATCTGCAGGACACCTTTGTATTTACACCCAAGCTTAGTGGTTTCCTTCGAATTTTCCCTTCATCGAATTCTAAGATATCAACAATGAATTTGTTGCTGTTACTGTTTGTTTCAAGTTTCACAAAATGCCCTGATTGCGTTGGGTTATGCTATGAAAAAAATGCCCATCAATGATGATTCATGATGATTTACCATCCCCGATCGAATTTCCCTTACAGAATGGAAGGTGTCGACCCTCTTACAAATGGTTTATATAGGGTCATTTTGTAGTTACAAAAAGACCCCTAATCAGGCCTTTTTGTAACAGGGCACCCAAAAGGCAAAGTTGTGGATTTTCAAGTGTTCATTTTGTAAGAGTTTTGAGGTGCCAAGTCATTTTTTAAGACCATCGAGTTTGTCTTTTTGAGGCTTTTTGTAAGCTCAAGATGCTGTTTTTGAACATCAAAAAAAACAAAAAAGAATTCAGCAGGGTGTGCAATGACATTTTGTAAGGAGATGTCGTCAAGACTAGAAGAGCCTTTTTGTAAGAATATATGCTTTTTAGGCATTGATACAAAGTATTGTTCAGATTTGTACATGTTTTTGATTCGCCTCAATCATGTGATAGCTGTCTTGGCTATTTCCGAAAAGGCCCCAGCCCACAGCTCTGACACATCCCAATGGCGTGGCTTCTTGCGGTTCTTTTGGTGAGTTGGCTTTCTGGTGTTGGGAGTGCACCAGATTTGCCATCACTCGGCGTTGATGATTCTATATAAATCTATATGAAATCTATATGAATCTATATGAGTCTATATATGTCTATATGATATTTTGACTCATTTTTTCACGTTATAACATTCCTGATCATCCTTATCTTTGAAACTAGAAGTGTTAATGGGTAGCCTCTTACAAAATGGCAGGGGGCCAGGTGTGTCTTACAAAAAGGGTGGGTTGATCATCCTCAATACATATGCATACAGGTGCATATGCAAATCAGTAGCTATCCCTGAAGATCCATCCAGGTAACCAGAGCTACACAAACCTCATTTAGACTCCATATAGGTACTATATAGGTTAGGTTCACTACAAAATGCCAAGGTGTTGCTACCCTACAGGGGAGGAGTGTTTATTTTAGGAAGCTTCCTGGGGCTACCAGCACCTTGCCATTTTGTAAGGCACAGTTCAAGTTTTAGGGCAGCCATGGCAGCAATTTTTGGATTTGGTGGAGGCACCAACTTTCTTCTTGGTGTTGTGTTGGCCGAGGATGGCCAAAGATCTTTTGCAAGTTGTAAGTATGACGACGTTCATGGCTATCTTATGTGTTTTTTTTGTACATGTTCTTTCGTGTTCAATTTTTATTTTTATTTTTGGTACTCATGTGATTATACAAACGCGAGACATCATGAAAGGAGTTCTGGTAGGCAATGAGGCCAAAGAAGCAAAAATACACAAAATATAAAGCAAACCAAAAGGTGGCAAAAAATGGAATCCTTACAAAAAGGCTGCTTGAAAATCAACGAGTCCGGGAAAACCAGAAACAGGGAACCAGAAGTTGTGTCCTTACAAAATGATGCCTGAAAACGCCATCTAAAATCACAACTTCTTATAAAAAGGTCATCGACAAATATACAACTTCCATATCGTGAAGAAAGTCGTCACCTTATAAAATGGGGTGGGTGTTTGAAGTCGAATGAGGGTGCTAAAACCCTATGCTTTTTGTAAGGGCCAAAACTCGTAAAAACCGACTCTTTTTGTAGGGTTTTTCAAAAACCCATGGATTTGTACTACAACAAGCCGGGTGCGACACCCCCCCTAATTCGAAGGGGGATGATTTACCTAATTTATATAAAAGTTTAAAAGAATGCGTTTCTCCATATCTACGTTTAATTATGCGTGTTAGATTCCTACAGGGTATGTCTTTGGACGGGTCGGTTTTCCCAGCGGCTTCATGCGGCTTCCAATGGGCCAGGGACGACGATAGCGATGGATCGCGGAGGCTAGTTGGTGTGTTGTTTTTGCGGTGAGTACTTTGGGCAGTTTGGCACGTGGGACCGCTGAATGAGGGAAGATTCAATCTATATAAGTTTTCTAAAATCTGACATGTTTTCACGTTGTTGTGCATTAGTGTATATATATATTATATATATATATATTAGTGAAGACATGTATGTAATGTCGGTCTCTGATTAGTAGCTAGGTTCGCTATTGTGGCAAATTTTCCAAATTATTCTGAAACCCATGAATTTTGGAGGGTTAGCGTTTGTGGCAAAAAAAATAGGGGAGCTTTTTTTTTGAAAAAACAACCTGTAATTACTACAAGTACTACAGGTACTACAAATACTACAAGTACTACAAGTACTACAAGTACCACAAGTTCATCCGCAAAAAACAGTTTTAATTAGATTTCAATTGTAGCCAATCGAAATCCTTACTTAAGTGAGGATTCGTTTTTCTCTTGGGAAGAATTTTTTTGACTTTCCACTTTAAAGAGAGTCCAAATATTGTTTAGAGGGGGGGGCTCACACTAATCAGGAACCAACATTATTATATATATATACTTCATATGCAGTGTATAGATCCAGGGGTTTAACGTGAGCCCGATGGTACTTTTGGCTCAAGTAGAATAGAGCTCCGCAGCTCGATATTGTGTTCTCATGGTAGCGCGTGAGCCTGGTGAGTCCGAAGCCGACTACGAGTTGAGGCAAAGGGACAAGGGGCATCGCAAATCAAGGTGCCTGGTTAGTAGCTCCTCAGAGGAGGAGGAGCCAGGGAGCCGAGCGGCTGATAAAAGCTGTGCTCAAATGTTTGAAAAGAGAACTGGAAGAAAGAGGTGAACTAAACGCCGCCGACCAGTTCCAGAAATGCCAACCATAGACCCAGAGTGGGAAGAGCGGTATGTAGATGATGTTAATGGGGGAGTGCTTCCAAAAGAGGAAGTTGAAAAGGCCAGATCGGTAGAGATGCAGTATCTTCACAAACAGGAAGTATACTTGCCAGTGCCGATTGAACAGTGTTTTGAAGAAACAGGGAAGCCCCCGATCAAGACCAGATGGCTTGATACAAATAAGGGTGATCCAAGTCACCCGAACTACAGAAGCAGGCTGGTTGTCAGGGATATAAAGGCCGCGCAACGGCCTGAAGACCAGCTACCTGCAAATCTTCTGTTTTCAAGCACACGCCTCTTGAAGCAATGAGGCTACTGTGCTCATTGTGGGCGACCAAACAGAGGTCGATCCATGGTGAAAGGCTGAAACTTGGTTTGTGGGACATATCCCGCGCACGCTTCTATGGAACACCAAAACGCAGGATATTCATAGAGCTTCCCAGCGAAGAGCCAAGAGCTGAGGGAGGCAAGATGTGTGGACTCCTTCAGAAGTCCATGTATGGAACACAAGACGCACCGAACAAATGGCAGTCCCATTACTCAGGGATTTTGATAGAAGGCGGGTACAAGCGTGGAAAATCCAACGCTTCGGTATTTTACCACCCACAGCACAATGTCCGTGTAATGGTACATGGAGATGACTTCTTAGCACTAGGTGATCAGAAACATCTCAGTGAGCTGGAAGACTTGCGCAAGTCTTATGAGCTGAAATGTCTCGGAGTCATCGGAGATCAACCTCAGGACAAGAAAGAGATCCATTTCCTGAACCGGTTGGTTCGGTGTGGTGAAAATGAAGGAAGGCCAGCAGCATGGATTGAACCTGATCGCAGGCATGTGGACCTGCTGATCCAGAGCTTTGGCATGACAAACGCCAAAGGTGTAGAAAGTCCAGATGTAAAGAAATCTGCAGACCAACAGGCTCTTGAAACCAGGAGCCCCT